AATCGCTGATAATATCCAGCCAAACCCATGAAAGAGCGTACATCCGTCGTGCAACGGGGTTCCGGCCAATCCACGATGGCTTGGATCTTGTCCGCTAAGGGACGAATGCCTTTCGGCGTGACAAAATGGCCCAAGTACTCAAGCTCTTGCCTGGCGAATTCGCACTTGTCGAGATTCGCTTTGTATTTGGCTAGTCACAAACGATTCAAAACAACGCGAAGGTGTATGATGTGCTCGTCCAACGTCCTATTATAAACCAAGATATCATCAAGGTAGATGAGGACGCTGCGATCGAGCAAGTCGCGAAACTCGGTCGTCATCGCTGATTGAAACGTTGCGGGGGCATTGGTGAGGCCAAATGGCATGACCACCCACTCAAAATGCCCATACCGCGTCTTGAACGCRGTYTTGTACMDGTCTTGAGGCTGGATTTCAATCTGGTGGTAACCTGACTTCAGATCCAACTTCGAGAAGTACGTCGCGCCGCCTAACCGCTCAAGGAGATCATCAATCCGAGGGAGAGGGCCGGCGTTCTTTATGGTTTGTGCATTAAGTTTGCGATAATCGATGCATAACCGTAGATCTTTGTTCTTCTTCCGGACGAAGAGAACAGGTGCACCATATGGCGAGCAACTAGGGCGAATCCAGCCCTTGTCGAGAAGGTCATCGAGTTGTGCGCGAAGCACTTCGAGTTCCTCTTYGCTCATGCGGTAGATACATCCACGCGGAGGGACGGCGCCTGCCTCGAGAGTGATCCCGTGACGTATGGGCCGATCCGGAACCRTTCMGGTGGGAGCCTCGAAAACGTCTCTATACTCGTCCAATAGGTGAGAAATGCGTGGGTCCGGHGGTGACGCGGCTGGTCCGTCCGGCGAGGGGAGAGCATGCAAGAATACAAGGTCCATCTCCTCGACGTCATTCCGAGCAATAGCGTCGCAAATTCTCGCAACGGAAACCACGTGACAAGCAATCGAAGTGTGAGGGGTCGCGACCGTACATGGGACTAACACTCCGTTCCGATCACGGGTGTGAACGGTTCGGTCATGGAAGTTTACCGGATGATCGGCGCTACGCAGCCAAGACATGCCTAGAATCATGTCAAACTTGGTGTCGAGGATGTCAAAAGACACCGGCTCGCACGCAAGTGGCGCAAAGTAGACCGGAACGCCATCAACGCATCGGTCAATTGACTTTTGCATGCGGCCGTCCGCGAGTGTAACTTGCGTAGGTTGCGTCTTTCTTCGAACGCGCGGGCGAAGACCTTCGCGGGCCATAAAGGCTTGACTCATAAAGTTGCGAGACGCTCCGCAATCAATCAAGGCACAACAGGTTGCCTTTCCGATTTGAATGCGGATATAGAGCAAAGGTGCGTCGGTTTCGGCGTACCTTTGGGTGGCGTGCTCGCGGTCGATCTTCGCAAGATAGGAGCGGAGATCGGCAACCGCTACCCCGTCGTCCGTCAACGGAGCTGGTACTGTAGTGTGCAAGTAGGAGCGTAGATTTGCCATCAAGGCGTTGCAATGCGGCCTTGGCAAGGTTCCGGTCGAGGGTAGAGGCATCCAGGCGAAGTCCTCTCTCGTGAGCGGGTCAAGCTCCTCAAGTCTTGACCACGCCGTCGAGTCCTCGAAAATCAGTGGCGAACTGACCGGATCACTTTCCGACGGTGTACAGGCTGCGCATACGCAATCTACATGCACGTGGCTAGGCTGGTCTAATGGTGGTACCAGCTGGGGGGCATATTCCTCGTACGTAGCACGAGAATCAGCGACTAACGCATGCTCCCCGGTAGTGACATCGATTGCTAGCAAGGCAACCTGGTCCGGCGGAGTGAGGAGAGACGTCGCCCCTCTCCTTGCGTAACTCAGTTTCCCGAGTTGGCTGGACGGGGTACGCGTGCCTTGCCCTTGTCTGGGCATTGTGCGGTAGTGTGTACTACACTGTTGCACCATAGGCAGTATGCGTACTTCTGACGTAGGTCATAGACCTCCTTGGTGWTCTTATAAGCCGTCCATGGCTGCTGCCCAGCTCCCGTCGCCGCTGTCCCTTGTGTCGCCTTGTTCTTGCGAACTCTCTTCGGATGCTTCGGCGGGAGCGCTGCGACAATTCCTCCATCACTCGAGGATGCTGCCGCCGTGTGGTGGTCGTCGATTTCTTTAGAAAATACGGCATTGTTATGTGTCGGACGTTGATAGGTCTGCTTAGCCACATAGTGCGGCTGGGATTGTCTCTCGTTAGCGGCCTTGTCGTCCGTTTGGATGACCAAGTTCGCTCGATCCAGAATGGYCTGGAATGTGGTATAGTCGTACTCATTACCGAGTGACGACCGCAATCCCGCGCACGATCGTGAGAAGAACTCGGATCGTTGATTTGGAAATGTCAAATCGAAACCTGCTGTGGTCACTATCTTTTGCCACTTCGTTGTCCAGTCTCGRGTYGGCATGTTCCCTTGAGAGCATGTGTACACCTCATTCATGGMCGCCTTYACGACGTTGCGGACCATGAACCGGGTGAACCATAGCTGCTCGAACTCCTTCCACGTAATGTGCRTGTGGAGTTCGGCGATAGTGCACTTGTGTGTAGCCGCTAGGTGGTTCATCCATCCCTGCGCTCCTCCAATCAGCTGCAGATATAGTGCCTTCAACATGTCGTCCGCCAGGACCATGCGGCATGATGCTTCCGTGAGGAAGCGTTGCCACCATGACAAGGCGTCCGACTTGTTGTAGTCGTCGAACTTGCTGATGTCGAAGTGCGGCATCTTGAACGTCTTTATAGCAGCTTCCGGTCTCGTCTGTAGCTTGGTGAGGTCCATCTTGATGGAAGCCACCGTGCTGCTGATCGAGTCTGGTCCAGTGAACGTACTTATGTTGCCGATGATGGTGACGACATGATCGATGCGCTCGTTGAGTTGCTTCGTCACGTCTGTCGTGCAGCCTGGCGTTGCTGAGGCGTTAGCCTCTATGCTGTTGACGCGTGTGACAGTGGAATTCAACAGTTGATGYTGTTGCTGCTGCTGCATTGCCTCTGTGCGGATAGCAGTGGTTAACGTAGTCATATCATTCTTGTATGTTTGTCGCTGCGTCACGTCCGCACGCAAATGTGACTGCAGCAGTGTATTATTCCACATAATACCTCTCATCATGCCCAGCAGTAAGTTAGCCAGGTTACTTCTCTCTACCTCCGCCGGTGTTGGGTCTGCCTGCGCTTCTGTAGGCACAAAGATCATGTCTTGGAGTACCGTCGTCCACAAATGCTCACAAGCAATCAAGGACTCCGTGCTGCTGGCATTCCGTCTGTCTCGTGTCGCTGCGTCAGTCTCAGTCGTTCGCTGAGCTTCGGCTGCCGCTGCATTGGCTAGCCGCTGACGTTCTGCCTCTGCTATCTCCTTCCGGGCCTCGACGGCAGCTACGGCTTCTGAAAATGCCAGTAGCCGCCCACGATAATCAGTCGCGGGCTCATTGGCTCCTCGGACTGGGTATGCGGGATGATCTCCGGTGGCGTCTTGTACCGTCAATGCCGTACTTGATGCTGCTGGAGTCGTCCGGGATGATCTCCGGTGGCGTCTTGTACCGTCAATGCCGTACTTGATGCTGCTGGAGTCGTCCGYCTGCTGAGTTTCTTCGGTCTTGGAGGTACTGCAGGGCGGGCACGAACTGCGATTCTGGCACTGCGTCGTGGCAGTGCCCCGGTGTCCTGTTCCGTCGACATCAGTCTGAACCGATGCGGTACTTGAGAAGTCCCGATAATCACAGAACACGGGGGGGGTAGGGAGAGTGGGAACAGGGGTAGAACAATCAAGCAATATACATGCAATCCCCTGTCCCACTGATGGACTGTAGACACCTAATCAAACGGAAAAAATAATTTCCCGTAAACCTGTCGAAAAATTCGTAATAAGGAATTTATAACGATTTAATCAATAAAATTAATTAATGATAATTAACGAAAATAAATCCGAATGATAATCAGTAAACAATGTTTGTAAATAAAGATCACCAATTAATAACGAATTTGAAAGGTATTATGATTAGGTCTCTTTGAGATCAATATGAGACCGGGAGTTCACCGTTTAATAAGTGGACTGCCCGGTAGTTGCAATTTAAGGTCAGATACGGCTTAGTGTGCTAAAAACAATTTCGCAAAATTTCAGAAGAAACCGCTCGAATTTTCAAAAATGCGAATTTTCGAGACTTCCCACCGTCAAAATCCGATTTTTAAAAGCCTAAACCTATTTTCGGAATTTCTCAAACAAGGAGAACGAAAAAAAAAATTCGCGAAAATTTCGGTCCCAACCCTAATTTCCGCGTTTCGGCGAAATTTCCGGAATTTATGGTCCCAAAACGTTCGGATTTCCCCAAGTTGATTTAAAACCAAAAGGTTTTCATAACCCTAATTCCCATACTGAAAGACAACGGAAATCTCAACAGAAAAACGAAATATAGGATTTACAACAGAATGC